AGCAGCATAAGTAAATGAATGGGTGGAGGAGGAGGTCCTGCTGATAGTCTCATGAAGGGATTTAATTGTAAAAGCTTGCTCATTCCTGCAAGCTCGTAATTTTCTGTTGTTTGTCTGATCTTCTAACTGAACAGTAAGGCAGGTTGAAGAGGGGGAAAAAATGTCAAATGGACCCTGATACCCGGGCACGGGCACTTCCCACTGCGAGGAATCTCCCACGGCTGCGTTGTCCTTAGCACTGTTTTGTATTCAACACAGTCCTCTGCTGGACTTCTGTTATTCAGACATTTCATCTTTCATACTAAACAATAGAGAGGAGGAAACTTTATTTTTATCATATTCCTTCCTGTGAAAAGAAGCCCCTTCACAATGAATTTCCATCTCCTTTTAAAATCGAAAAAGAAGAGGGGGAGAGCGAAACAATTGCCAATGGAATTGTCAGAGAGAAGCAGAGATGATCCAAGTATAGGATCGTTTTTCTCCCTTCCCTGCTGCTGAGATGTGCAAGGACTGGATGGACTTTGATTTTGCCTCCTTTCCTGGCAGCCTTTTGAGTTTTGGATCATCCGCTAAAACACAACGGTCTCTTTCTTACGGGGACGGTCAGTGAATCACGCTTAAAGCTCTGCTGTGCAAAGACGACCTCCAGGATGCACCTCCTCTTCAGGAGCAGCGTATCTAACTGGAAATAGAAATATTTGCTTGACAGAGTGGGGAGACAAAAAAGCATCACCTGGAGCAATCTCACGCAAAATGACTACTGTAGGGCCGTGTTTGGTTATTTAATGTTATGTGTGACCGAGCTGGTCACCTGCAAGGGTGTAGGTGCGCCCTGGAGATCTTATGCTGGCCCTGAAAAGCAGTCTCCAAAACATGAAGATTTTTGTCAAGTCCTTGGGAAAACTTCTAGTTAACTGCTTAATGTAACTCTGTAAACAGATGAACAAAAAGGAGCCAAATCCCCAAGGCTGTTGTCCAGGAAAAGCATACCTCCCTAATCTGCTGTAAGAACAGGGAGGGCATCCATTTGTGAAAAGAGCTTTGAACATGAGGGACTTGGACACGTGAACTTGAATGAACTTCAACAGGACAACTCACATGAGCTACCTCTAGGTTTCTCTCTGTAAATGAACCCCCGTTTTTCCACAAAGGGGTTCTGTGGTCTCAGGCTCCTTCTCCCCTTCTACAGCAGGGAGCCTTTGTCACGCCGCCTCAGACAAGCGCCTAGGCCAGGCCTATCCACCACGACAGATCCAGCCCGGCAGGTCGCAGCTTCAGCCAGCTCCCTGGACAACCTCCAGGCCACCCAGCAGTAGAAGTGGGATGTTTTGAGGGTCTTGCCCTGTTTGGATGTGTCTACAGGTCTAGAAGTGACGCAGATGGGGATTTGAGGCTGTTCCGTAAGAACCACGGAGGCATTTTCTGCAGTGCTGCTGCAGTCTCACCTGCGTGCCTGGGTCCCATTGAAAGTCCAGGAACTTCACGTGAGGAGCGATGCCATCAGGACCCTCTGAAAGAAGAAATAAACTCCTAATGCAGGGCTCGGTATTCCCGAGTGAGAACGAAAGGGCAAGAACGCTTAACAGCAAGTAGCACTGAGCCCTACCTTGTCATGTTTTCAAGGATATAAGCAAACAGGCAAGATGGAAATAAATCTCTCTCTGAACTAAAGGGTGACCTTTCAAATACGCCTGTTACAGAAGAAAAATAAGGAGTGTTTGGAACAAAAATAAAGGCTGGACAGCAAAAAACCTTATAAGAAACTGAGCAGTGCTTGACAGTGCCACTACCATTAAAAATCCTTTTAAATGTTTTTATTAATAGACTGTACTGACTAAAAGGGTATAAAAGCCAGCCTTTTTGAGCGCAGTTCAGACAGATTGGCTAAGAGCAAGCTATGGCAGAGCCCATCCGCTCCAAATTAAGTAGGAATACATAAAACAGGATGAAAAGCTAAAATATCCGTAAGTGGCACTATTTTAAAACTATGAGCATGACTCAATTAAGATTAAACAGTACAGGTTTTCCACGCTCCAAATCCAGCCCAGGCTGGGATGTTGTTTGTTAGGAGCCAGCCCCCGTCACGTAGCAGCAGCGACGCTGGTGTCGCGCGCTCCAACACGGAGCCTTCAGCCTCGCACTGGGCTTGCGTTTATGGAATAGGTCCAGTTTTCTTCCTGGGATAGTCCAAGTCACAAAGATCCACACGGAAGACTGGAGATCAGGTGGTAACGGAACAGGCCCTTTAAGAATAAGAGGATCATCAAAAGAGAGCAGCTTTCTGATCACCCTCCTAGCTGGATTTCCCTTTTATCGGTGAGTTTGGGTTAAACAGATGCAGGAGGAACAGAGATGACTGCCTTTTGGAATGAGGGGAGGATGCGCAACATGTGCCAGAGGCAGCCGCGGTTCATAAAAGCAAGAGCTGTTCTGCTATTCCTGGAATCTCCTGGTTGCGTTTCCTCACAGAGACCCAGAAGGGACAGACAGATGCTCGGATTTTCAGTGTTTGTTTGGAGTGGCCATGGGAGACTGTTTTTTTTCCCCCTCGGCACTTTGCATAGGGAACAACAGGACCTCCACAACGTTTCCTCGTTGCTGTTCCTGGAATTGGGACAAGACAGAAATATTGCCCAAAGTCGTGCACCAGCACTTCAGCGCGCTCGCTTCCCCATGCAAACCCCACACGAGGACAGCTGAGCCCTTCGGGATGGAACGGGAGGAATTCCCTATTGGAAACAAAGCCGTCCGGATTTACAGGGAGAGGCGACCTGCTGAGGAGAAAATCCAAGGGCCCTTGAGCGATGATCAGAGCAGAACCAAAACCAGTTTTTCTGGCATTGCAGCTATTACCAGTGCCACGGCTGCTGCAGTCTCAGAAATTGCCCTGTTGAGATGTGGACCTCATGGATAAAAACAAATACCTAAGAAATTAAGGTAAATTGCTGATACGAAGCCAAAGCTACTATCTTTGTAGCTGCATCCTGGTAAATATGTCCAGGCTGAAACTTCATTAAGGTAGAGCTTATTAGACTTCAGGTGGACTGTATATTCTCCACATAAACATACCTTTCCAGGCCTTCGCTTGGTTCGTGGGGCATTAGAAACAAAACGCAGTGATTCTACAGCTGCTTTCACAATTGGAAAATGTCAAGTCCACTGCAAGTTTCTGGGATCAGACTGAAAGAGATTTAGGAAAATAAATGCATGCTAGAGGATGGAAAAGTCGGGTTTACGGGAACGCTGATCAGATTATATACCTGTTAGGTTTAGAAAAAAATCCAGATACGGCCCAAAACCTTTAGAAACAAGAGTTTCCCTAAGCTCAGAAAGCCTGGCTTAAGCTCTTATGAGAGGTTCCACAATAGGCTCAGTGTCATGCTATTTTTTCTGTTTCATCTGGGATATTTCACACAAACAGGCTCTCTCCTTTAATTTTTTTAAACAAAATACTTTTTTTAGCAGTACAAATCAACATCCCCAAAGCTTTCATACACTTTCAGGTATGAGGCTGTAGATTCACGTGAGAACTTGGCCCCGGTTCGTCCTGAGCTTGCACTGGTCTTACTCCTCTGGGTCTGAACCGCAAGGGCCCTTCAGAAAGGGTCTCATGCAGCTGGGAAACATCAAGCCAAATTCTGCTGTTACCTTCCACTTACATTAAAAGCGCTTGTATTCAGTAGCTCAGTATGGAATTTGTACTGGTTTAACCAAACAGGCTCTGTTCTTAATGTGTGGGGAGGTGTAAGAGCCAGCACTGCCTTTGCCAGCAGCAGACAGGAGGCTGAACCTGACAGGGAAGAGAAATATCAAAAGTAATGAAAAAGTGTTTCAAAATCAGAATTAGAAGCAGGGATTTGCAGACAGGTACCTTTTAAAAGTATATAAAAATATATAAAAATATATATTTTAAAAAATACATATATATTAAATACTTAAATATACAGAATGCCTGGAGTTATAAGTGGACTAAATCAGTGAAGATAATTTCTAGTGGTCCTTGACTCTGCAATTCCAATCAGCCCCAGGAGCACTAGCCTTTCTAGGATGAGTATTCTCTCAGTGGAGGCCATGACCAAAATCTTTTAGATGGTCCTGTACTTCCTCATTTTCTATTTAATTTCTCCATAGGTTTAGGTATTGCTTCTTGAAATTGGCTACCGAAGCTTCAAAGATAAAATCTCTGTACTAAAACACACGGTGTACTCAACTACTACTTGCGTCTCCCCCACCAAAACATAAATTATCTTACAAGGTGTAGCACGCACAAGGCTTTCACAGATTGCACTTGACAGCTTTGGTCATCGCATTGAATGCATTGCTGAAACTAAAAAAATCCAGACAACACACATCCCAAGTTGACTTTATTTCTGAATGTCAGTCAATTCACAGCGTGGAAGAAATGCACCGTGACCTGAAGACATCATAACACAGCGGGTCCCGGAAAGATTAAAACCTGAGATTTCCCCCAAGACACAACGCGCTCTTGCTGAGCAATATTTTACCGAGGGCAGCTCTGAAGGAAGTGTCATTTTCATTTAGTGCAACTCCAAGCCTGCCTGGCAAACAGGAGGGTCTAGCAAACCTGTCCCAGCGTGCCCAAGCTCTATTAATTCATGTGGCACTCTTATTACACAGCAGTGATAGGACATACAGGCAAGTGAGAATTTCTAGATCCAAGGACCTCACCCTGGAGAATCACAACCCAGATCCCCAGGTATTTAGCTCCAACGCTATCAAATGTTTGTGTTGAAAAGGCCAGATGTATTTAAATTACAAGATAATGGTAGAAACCAAGTTTTAACCCACCAGTAAGTTTGTTGCTGGCGCTGCTGACATGTCTCCATACAGACGGACTACTGAAGTATAATGCAAACTTTGAATTAAAAGCATACGAAACAAGTGTCTAGATAGAGCCCAACTAACTTTATTTCCTAGCAACAAATCTTCTTCCTTGCTAGCAAATTTTCATGTTTCAGAGCAAAGAAAATGAAATGACAGAAAACTCATCTTGCTTTTGTGCCTTATGGGAATACCACCCATAGAACAGATGCAAGTGTTCAGTCGCTGTTCCTCTTTATCCTGATCTTCAATGTAATGCTCCGGTATCTAGTATTTCTCACGCACTGAAAGGTAGATTAAAAGAAAAAAAACCTTACCCTATTCCCAGATTTTTTGAAGAATTTTGCAGGAATTTTAGGGGTATTAGTAAACAATCAACAAGTTTGCCTCAAAAATTGAGGAAAAAATTAATTAGTAAATGGTAGGAAAAAACTAATCTGCTAATTTGCAAACACCTTTGGTTATAATAACAAAAAAGATAGTTCACAAGATTACACATTTGTTTTATTACTCCATCTGTATTACAATGAATCCCTGAAGCTCCCAGAATTTGTTATGCGATTAACACCACAGACCAGTGATCACAGTTAATAGAAAAAGTCTTTATATTAAACAAAAGTCCAAAAAGACTTATTGAGAAACTTTTTGAAACCGAGAAAACATTGCTCTGGACAAGACAAACACAGTATTTTACGCCATGAGATTTGTAACTGTGGGAACTATTACTAAAACGCAAAGCTTCCTTTAATTTAGTCTTAAGTTTAGGCCCATTAAACAGATGTTTCCAAAGTATTTCATCATCTTCAAAAAGAAAATCCTCTGTTTCTGAGCCAGGTATGGATGTATGACAGCTCCTACCCGTGACCATTTCCATTTAAAATATGTGAGGACATTTCACAGTCTCCTTCACTGGTGGTTTCTATCCCAGCCTTCCAAACAGCAAGTCTGGATCAAGTCTAAGGAGATCAGATGTAGCTCATGGAAAACCTGAAGGAATTAGCATTCTACTCAGCTCTGTCCTCTCCCAAGTCCTGCTGCCCTAACTGGGAATTACTTGCTCACATGAATGCAGGAGACTGCCTGACTGCCTCTGTCCATCTCTCCCTTTTGTATTTGCCCCAAGGACAGGCTTGCGTGCTTAAGCCGTTGCCACAAAGACCTCTTAGCTATTGCATGGAGTTCTCCACCTTATTACAGTTTACTTTAAAAAAATAAAAAATAAAATTAAAAAAACTCCACAGTTCAAGTAAGTTCCAGTAGTCAACCCAAAGGTGTAGTGCCAAATAGTGCCCGTGCCGGGGAGAACACATTCCTCTATCAATAAAAATACATTCAGCAAAATAACACTCATTGCTGTATTAACTTTGGTGAAACCTTCTAGAGCTCGTTAGTAATGGAAGAGATGAACAGAGTTTAACAACACAGGGAGTTATGGCAGGATGTAGTCCAAAAGGTGGCTTGCATCTTTTAAATGAAAGAATTAAAAGAATAGAAAGAGAGCACCCCAGGACTCCTCTTGGTTTGCAACTATCTTCTTAGAGAATGAAGGCAAACCCTTGACAGAATATCCCAAATTTAAGTTGGTCCTTAAGGCACTGTTCGCAACACTTACGGAAACGACACGGTGAACATGAAATGTATTACAAAATACTAACCCAGTTGGGAAATTTAAATTGGAGTTTACACAAAAATGTTCTGTACGTGTTTTCCTCTTCCCCTGCAGGGCTTCTCTCATTCCATTTGACCTCGTGCTCCATCCCAGGATGAATTACGCCAAGACTGGGTCCCCAATGCTGTGGTCGGGGTTGCAGGTGAAGGAGATGGTGATGGCATAGCGAGTGCCCCAGCGGACCTTCTCCACCCGATGAAGATTCTCCGAGCCAGAGGTGAAGAAGGAAACCCGGCCTGTAAAGACAAAGCAGGGACATGGAGTTTGCCATTCTGCTGTCAGCTTTCCGCACAACCTGGCGGTTGTTGCCTCGGTCCGACTGTTCCCCGGCTGCCCGAGGGCCCCAAGGTCATTGCAAAGCCAAAGTGCTGCAAGCTTCTCCTGCGCTCCGGCAGCTTTATGGACTGTCTAAAACACACGTTAAGTTTGTGCTACAAAGCTGGACGTGCAATTTCACCATATTTCATTGTTCCTAAAAGGTGGGAGGAATCCCAGAACATTCAAATTTAGCTCTGAGTTGCCTTTATTAAAAATAATAAATAAAAAATAAAATAAAACCCATACCAGTCTAGTGGCTGAACTGTCAGGAAAGTATTTTGGTTTCCTCTCTGCTCCCCTCCTAATCTGGGCTCTAACTTTAGACCAACGGAGGGAATGCTACACAGGTGGCAAAAAATCCGTAGTGGAAAACCAGCCAGCAGGTTTAAGAGCAGCTGTGGCAGCTCCTCCGATCTGTACAGCTTTGCATTAGCTGTGTTTGCTACAACTTGTTGTGCACCATTGGATCACTCACTGCTCAGCTGGGTTAAAAACACGCAGCTCTCACTCTTGCATGCAAGTTGAATTTTCCTTAGAAAGAGGCAAACTGTTTTACAGAAGCAAATCCTGCACTTCATGACTTCAGCTTTTCACTACAACTACCACCCTCTGTGGTGGGGTTGCACTGGACTTAATTGGCTTTAAGGTGAAATCTGTTTACACCAATAATGACATTTGAGATTTATTAGCTTTCCACTTCATGAAACAGCAAAATGCAGCACTCAGTATTCAGAATTATTTATCTGTTTGACAATATAAGTTTCATGTCTAGCGAGTAACCCAGAAGGGAAGCAGGACTCCAGGACCACACAAGCTCCCTGCGAAGCCAGAGAGACTCACCTGCACAGCTCCTCCATCCCAAGAGCACATTTTCCTACTTGTGCAACTTTTCCACTATTCAAATTATATTACAGTTTGTTATCCACTTATCTTGGGGAAGTCGCCTGACAATCTGCCTCTGCCTGGGACGCGTTCTTCATCAGGCAAAACAAAGCACCTGGATGCCTACTTAAAATGTGCACTATTAATTAAACTATTAATTAAATTATTAAACTATTAATTAGTGCACTATTAATTAAACTATTCCAACAGTTATGCCATTCACACTGCAGAGACGGGCACTAGCTCTGTGGCAGGCTCTCCCCACACACACGCTCCCTAAAAAAGATCCAAAAGGTCTCGAAGATATTTGGCTTGTAAACTCTTTAGCAAGGCTTGTGGGAGACCTGAGCAAAGGCAGCCTGGTCTTGGGGAGCCCGGTTCACCCCCTAATACCTGCGGTTTATTTGAGGAACTTGTCCCCCTTTGCACACAGCTCATATACACATTGGTGTCCTGCGCTTACAGATCAAAGACTGTATATGAAGGCAACGTACTCCAATCCTGCGGGTGTTATAATGAGCAGAACTACTCTCTTAAGATTTCATGCAAATTTAGTTCCATTTGTTCTGAAAACATTATTTTTATTCTTATTTGCACATCATTCAAATCCTTCATTATCAATCCATCCCCTATTCACCTAAAGCTTTGCCTTAATCGGAATTTCAAGCGTTTTGTGTTTCATCTCTCATAAGTAGTAGCAGTAATTCAAAACTAGACAAATTTCAGTGTATTGTTTAAGCCAGTTAATTAAACTGGATTCTTTGGCTATAGAGAAAGTGTTTTAATTTCTTTAGAAAACATTGTTTTAATGTGTGGTGTGGTACTTCTGCATCTCATCCCTTACCTGCTGATTGCAGCTTCCAGGTAGCTGAGTAAAGCTACAGCCTGTTATAGCAGATGCTTTTACTCACCTGGGAAGAATTCTTTTCAAATGCTTTCCATTGCAAAACTTTGAGCATAATAATCTTAATAGTCTAAGTGTGCATAAAGAGCACAGTCAGAGCTCACGAGGGGCGGCGGAGGGAGCCGGGTTATTCAGTGCAGAGAGGAGGAGGCTCCGGGGACACCTTATCACCTCTACAGCTACCTGAAAGGAGGTCGCAGGGAGATGGGGTCAATCTCTCCTCCAAAATAACTACGGATAGAACAAGAGGAAACGGCCTCCAGTTGGGCCAGGGGAGGTTCAGGGCAGAAACCAGGAGGAATTTCTACATGGAACGAGCAGCCAAGCGTTGGAGCTCAAGAAACATGAGGATGAGGTGCTTGGGGACACGTTTTAGCAGGAGGGTGTTGAGGGGCTCACGGTTGGACTCGATGACCTTGAAGGCCTTTTCCAACCATAATGATTCCATAATTCAAATGCACCAAGACCATACCCTTCCTAATCCTGCTTCAATAATTTGACTTAAGAGTGAAATCCCATTTGAATAAAGTGAAACTCATGTCAGGACAAAGCAAGTGTTTCCCCTATCTGATTTTGTTCTGGCTCGAGTCTGAACATTTCTGAACTAGGATTTTAAATCCCTAAGTTTCAAGCATGTTAACAAGTGTAAGGCCATATACAATGCAGGATCGTTTTAGATGTGCATTCAAGGTCCACTACTCTCTCCAGCCTGTGAAAAATTGTTAAGAGTGATTTTTGTGCTTCATAATAGCTTAGTATTGCATTACAAATGCTTAAGAACAGCTGAGCAACTACTCACTGTACGTCAAAAAATACATAATTTATATACTTTGTGATTTCCTACTGAAACCTTTCTAAATGACAAAAGCTCAGGAGAAACTGCAGAAATTTCTATTTCTGCCCCTTTTGTCATTTTCTTTCATTATTTAACAATCGCCTCAAATGGGTCTTTCATTTTCTTCTTCCCTCCCACAAGCTCCCCACTCTGATTTCTTTCCAGCATGCTTTTTGCTGCATTAATGAAACTTTGACTTCCTGGCATGCACATTTCAATTTGATTCATGAACACTGACTGTTAAAATAGAGCCTTTTTGGGATGGCAAGCTGCTACTCCATGCAATTTTATAAGATGCTACTACTTACCAAGAAGAGAGAACTATAATACCCCCTAACCCTCAAGGCATGAACTTCTGGAGAGTGGAAGAAACAGCAACGGGCTGGGGCCCTGTTCCAGGCTCCATGTTTCTAGGCTTTGAGAAAGGCACCAGTGTCCAAGCAGGGTCCATGAGGACGGACACTGGGATGGAGGTGCCCTCAGGTTAGGACTCCCTGTCCAGGAATATCACTCTCTTGCAGCTCCTCTCTCAAGCCCAACCTTCCCAGGCTGAGGGTGAAAACAAAGCCTTGTTTTTTCTCCACCAAAGTATTTCATCTTGAACGGGAACAAGTGCCTGTATTTATCCCAGTCACTGCAAGGTGCAGGAAATTCCATCGCTGCTTTAGTTTCACCATCCTGGGACCAGTTTTGGCTCCCCGTAGGGAAGCGTGGGCTGCCCTCCCACATTATCTGCCCCGTCTCTTCCTCCTCACCTTCCACGACACTGAATTCAGGCAAGACACCGTCTTGTGGCAAGCGTCGACCACAGAGCACACAGCCCTCTGCACTCGCCCTGTCTTCATTCGGATACTGATGCTTTTGAAAGGGCTTCTATGATCCTTCCTCTTTGCCCTCCACAAGAATGAGCTTAAAACCTGTACTAAAACTACTCAAAAGCGCCATCCATAAGTGCAGCCGCTTCTCCATCCCTTGGTGTCCCTTAAAGATCCACACAGGCTTTTTAAAACGTCTTCCTAAGAATACAAACAAAGGATAAGAAGTTTCGGAGACAAGAGATCTGTTGTCACGGAAAACTCACATGCAAATTCATTTAAATGCACCAGTCTCTCACGTTGAGCTGGGGCAAGGAGCTGTCAACGTGATGAGCACCGCAGCATCCATCAAAACGGGGTCTGTGTCACCGACAGAAGTCGAGCTCTGAAACACGGAGAAAAGCCGGCGGCATCCAAAGCAGGAAGGGAACCGCAGGGAGCAGGATCTTCATCACACTCTAGGCAACCACTTATTCTCCTGGGGATTTTCTGAGATTTTTTGCACCGAGCCTTGGGGATTGTTATTTATAAAGATATACGAGTGCCGATCGTAAGATTCACTGCTGGCAATTTTATGCAATCCTTATTTTGATGAAGCAGCACTGTTATTTTGGGAAATTGTACTTAACGAGAAGCAAAAGCACAGAGTATTTCATGAAAGGCAGCAATTATACCCCATTTAATTACTCAAGCAAAACCACCAGAGGAATATCTGTATACACTATATACCTTTGCATTTCCAGGTTTCATCACACAGATTGCCCTTTGCAATGAGGGGGTTTGGATTAATTCAGCAGGTAAAATTGCTGCAAGAAGCAGCAGATGGGAAGAATTATCCCTTCAGTTGCCTATCACAGTGACAGCATCAGTATTCCCCAAGGCTTGCTCTCCAGAGACAAACCAGGTTGAATTTTAATGTTAGGTGGCACTTCCATAAACAAATTACCTACAGTTTGCTACCTAAACTCAGTACTGGGAGGCAATATAGACTGGAAAAAAAAAATGTAATTGCCAATGAGAACTGCATCTTCAGTATATACTGTGACTTTGGTGAAACTACTTAATCTTTCATATGTTTTCTCGGTTCTAAAATCACAGTAATACTGACCCCCATGTACCAGGGTTACCACAAAAATTAATTAGCAAGCACAAGTACTATGCTTTGCAGCTAACACGTTCAGCGGCTTCATGGTGAAGGCCTCCTCTGTTCTTCTCTTTCTGACAACAAGAAAACTAATGAGAGATGATAGGACTAAATTATAACAAGCTGGGGGAGAAAACTTAAAAAGACTTGAAGAGCCTTGCAGTAGTATCACACCACGGTGCTTCTGAGGAAGCATCACTACTGCAAGGATCTTAAGCCTCTAATGTTATGGAGACACTCAATAATTTTACGTTAGAAGAGACACTGGGACATCATCTGGTCCAACCTCCTTCCTCTGAGCAGGGCTGACTTCTAAGATACAGCAACTTCAAAGTGGC